ATAAATGTCAACTCTTTTGTCTCAATCATCTAAGTGTGGAGACTGACAGAATATTTTGCATAAAGGCTAAAGGTTAGGGCCTCCCTAAGCCCAGAGAAAAATGTGGGAGAGGTGAAGCCCTGCCATCACCCATTACCACGCCCGCACCCGAACTTCCCTCGTCTGCCTATCGTCTCTTCCCCGTATGCACATCTTTTCCACATGGACTGTGGAGCCATTCATGCAAGGGAGAAAAAAGTCTAGTAGAAGAATCATCACCAAGCCCCCCACCCCTTCCTCAGTGCATTACTACGGTCCCTTAAAAACTGTTCCAGGAACTTGACTTTCTCAAGATGTGGGAAGCAGTCTCCGTGTTAGTCTGGCTGGAAACTCAAATGCACTTGCCCCAGTTCTAGCGTTGTCCAGTTCTACGTAAGAGGCTCCAGGCAGGCAGGAGCCGCTGCCATCCTGCTCCCGTGGAGAGCCTTGGGCAACCTCGTGTTATCCTTACTTTGTGCACGGTTGTCTCTCCCACCAGATACCAACCTTCGTGAGGGTGGGGACACATCACTCATTCCTTGCATCCCTAGGACCTAGCACAGGGTTGGAAATCAACCAATATGTACTGAATTATAGTCTTTAATAGCATCACCATTTTCCATCTACACATGTCATTATCTAATGCGTCCCCAAATCAATGATGTTTACCACCCCCTTTGCTTAACATCTAGGAAACATCCATGTGTATTATCTAGGTCTGCCTTTCAGACCCTAAGCTGGAGAAGATTAAATACTGATGGCAGCTCCCTGATTTTTCTCCAAAGGCTAAGACCCAACCCACTGTCCTGTTATAGATGACACATCCAGGACGACACAAATGTGTGGTGCTGGGTCTGAAAGGCATTATTAATACCCTCTCCTTCTGTGGACCCACACGGCAGGCTCACAAGCGAGGATGTAAAATCACTTTGTCAAAGCAAACGTTTCTCTTGAGGGGCATCAGCTCAACCTCGAGGAGAGAGTGATGACCACAGCCCACAGGCAGCGGGGCATGAGCAATTTACTGCTGCTAGGCAATTAGTGTTGCTAGAAAAAAATTGCTTTCATTTAAAATTCTCTTTAAACCATATGTATCATGGCTCATGGGATAATTTATGTATCATTAGAAACCAAGAAACATATATCACACTAGTAAATTGTCTCTTCCATCCACCACGGCTGATGGCTCCCAGGGGTCTTGAAGAAGTCAGAGTTTTGCTGTCCTCATTATGGAAGGTGGTGTGGAGATGTGCATGTGAGCCCATTTATCTTCTCATCCAGTCCCTGGTTCTCCGGCAGAGACGGATGATGGGAGAATCACTTGCCATCTTTTTCACCCACTGCTTTGCAGCATCATTTGCTGTAAACAAGCCCAGAGTAGAACAGCCCTGAGTTATACAGTTTTCCCTACAACTTCAGTATCTATTTTGAGATTTGGTTCATCTTTAAGACCTCCCAGAGCTCATGTTATTTTCTCCAAAACACAGCGTGTGGAACAACTCTACAGCTTCCCATTCAAAGATGGGCCCTTCATTCCAAAAGCAAACGGCTGCAAAGAGCTTGGAGAGAGTGCCTGCCTGTCTGGTGTGCGGAGCGGGTCCCAAGGGACTTCACTGAGCAATGTTGGGGGTCATGTGGCATCTGGGCACATGTGCTCGGGTTTACAAGACGAACCACCCAAAGCTGATTCTCTGTCAAGGGAAAACAAAATGAGAAGTTGGAAAATGAGGCTCTTCATGGATGGGGGGTGGGAGAAGCTGAGCAGCCCCCAACCTGCCGGTGTGACATGGAAATGGCTTTGGCCAGTATCACCAACCACAGAAGTTCCATCTGTGGAACAGAAGGTGTCAGATGAGAAGCAGCCACACGGCCACTTATCTGTGATGACAGAGACTGAAAAAACATGACGCACCCAAAAGTCTATCAAAAAGTAATTCCCACTTCACTGTTTTCTTGTGTTAAATTTCAGTTGTTTTAAAGAAAAAGTACAATGCTGGGATCCTAGCCTTTTCCTAAAACGCCACGCTTCCATCATTGATTTCATCTCAGAGTTAGTCTTAATCCTCAGAATTTGCTACATAATTTATGGGGCCCTCTGTTCAAAATATACAAAGGATTGCAAGGCTATGAGGACAGAGGATTAAACCAGGCGTGGGGTCCTTTTCAGATGCACAGGTCACACAGCTACGAAGCTGCCTCTCATTGGTATTGAGAGCTGGGACCCTCTCAAGTATTTAAAAAAGGGAAGACCAAGGTGGACAGCACTCTCTCCAGCGCGCTGAATCATTAGCTCCCGGTTCCCGCGCCATCGCTCACTGTCCTGCTTGAAGAGCCTCCAACCTGAATGCTGTGCTTGAGTGTCGTCTGTGAGGCCCTCCATCACCCTGTCACCCCAAACCTACTCCCTGCATGTTCTAAAAGTATGTGAAGATATTTAGCTATCTGGATATTTGGTAGAGAAAGACTCTGCATCATTGGAACCCCGTGGTTGAGAAGTTTCAACTTCAAGTCACAGGTGGCAGAATAAAATTTGCTCTGGTTGCATGAAAACAAAGGTGGAGCCAGTTAGTAGTAAAGGGGGGTCTGGTTAGCCAGTGTTGCTGCCACGCATGAACGGTGCAGCTGTCTGGAGCCGTGTCTCTGAGCGTTGCAGCTCTTCATACTGGCAGGGGCAATCCGTGACCAAGACTACGGCAGCAGTTGAGGGAACACATTTCCCCACTGAACAGCAGCGACAGTGCTGGGCTAGTTTCACAGGGAGGTTAGTAACTTCTCAGTCAAAGGGCTGGGTCAGTGTGCTTTTCATAAACCTGAGACTCTGAGCCTCGGCCTCTGGGGTCAGGCACCCTTCCCGCCACTCTCATGACTGGGGGGCCTTCAGCAGGGGTTGGAGGGCAGTGCCTGGCTTCTCTTGAAGACCTTTTCCTAAAAACCCTTCCTCATCCCTTGGCACGTGCCACCTCAGATCAGTAACAGCCAAGAGGCAAGCTGACCTGTGCTTTGCACATCCGGACAGATTTGGTTAAGGCAGTGGGCTCCTAGCCGAGGATGGAGGGTCGCACCCAGGGTGAAGGACTGGGGCCTTCTGACACTTGTGAACCTCCCATTAGGACTGAGGGCTTTGCCTCTAAAGACAGCATTTGGGCTGCTCACATCCATGTGCTCCTCCAGAACATACATGCGAGCTTCAGAGGGCTGAATTAATCACCAACTCCAGGACAGCGATGGATGTAGTTGTTTGTCTACAAGTTTAAAATCCTAACCAGAGCAAAGTCCACCAAAAGCATGTAGTGAGCTCTCTTCAATATAAAGATCTTCATGGCTGATCAAGGTGATAGATTTGTACATTTGCAGACTGCAAGAAAAGCTTTCTGAAGATCTAATATTCACTGAGCACTTGCAAGTCATGCCCTGTTCTACTCACTTTAAAGTTGACTCCTTTTATCCTTATGATCCCCACTTTACAGATTAGGAAACCGAGGCCCAGTGTGACTTGTCCAGGAAGACTTGGACAACAGGAGGGGGACAGGCACCCAGGCAGATGGGCTGCAGGCTAAATGTCTTAATGTCTTCACTGCCCCACGATCCCATGGAACCAGCCTACAAACACGGCACAAAATCAAAAGTAAAGAGTGGCTCAAGTTTCAATTCATTGCCAGGCTTTGCGTGAGTTATCCGACTTAAATGCCAGTCCCACAGTTTGTTGAGCTTTGTCGTCATCACTGCGAAGCAGGAAGCAAGTTTCCCAGGGCCCTGTGGTTACAGGGTAAGCTGGGATTTTAACTCGTCTGTCTGCATGGGTCCTACACCCACGCTCTTTTCTATCACCCAAGCCAACAAGGCTAAGGATGTTATATGTGGCTTTGAGGGAGTCACTGCAGGCCAAGGAGGCACGTTCTACAAGAGCTGGAGACCCCATAATGAAACCAGCAGGCAGAACGAACATGTCTCCCAACTTGCACAGCGAACTCTCAGGCCGCAGTGGAGGCTGAGGGGAAGAGAAAAAATGGTTTGTCCCAGACATGCCCACTAGCAGAGCGATGAGAACATTGTTCAATAAAATCCAAGTAAGTTGGTTAAGTGACAACTGTTTAAAATTATTAAAAAAGAGAGAAAACAATGTTTCCACAGACACAGGGTAACCTTGAACAAGATTTTTCTTCCTGAAACTGTTTTGTCCAGCTGGAGCAAAGAAAGAAAAGGAAACATGAAAGCCAATAAAAGAAAAACATGAGCATGGAAGACCAACATTAATCTTCAATTCAAACAGCAGTCACAGCTGCAGAGTTCGTGAAAGGCTTGAATAGCAATTCTATTCAGAGACAAACTACGTCCTGGGGGTACTCAGAGGCGAGTATGTCATCTAACTGCATCCTGAGTCTGGAGTCATGGGAATGGCCTGAGAACTGTGGATTAAGTGGTCCTTAGTTTAAAAGGTGTAATTCTTTTTTTTTGTAAAGAAAGAAGTTTATAACTAAAATGAGAATTTTAGCCAAGTATTCTGTGTCTAGACACGAGTCACTTACTTACAGACTTTAATGGTATTAACCGAAAGATTTCCCTGGGCTAGTTTGGTGTGAGCACACAAAGAAGGTGTGGGGACGAGGAGAGAGGGGTGGGGGCATGAGAAAGACTCAGGGAGGGGCTTGGTGGGAGGAACAGGAGAAAAAGAAGGGGAGACCTGGGACGAGAGTCCTGCCTAATTCAAACTCTGCTCCTCGCCAATAAGTGTAAAATAGTTGACCCCTAAGAGAGCTCAAGAATGAAATTAATCCATGCATGAAGTGAGCTTAATTGCAAGTCATTACCATAAATATTTATTGAACAACTTCTATGCGCTAGCTTCTACATCGCCTTCACTGCCTTTAAGAAGATGGGAAACCCCTTTAGGAGACCAGTAGTTGACAGAGATGTGCTCTGAATTTTTCACTAGGTAGAGGTTAAAAGACAGTACATTTAAAAAAAATAGCAGTAGCTCCATGTGTTATGATAAAAATAAACTTAATTTATTTAGGAGAAAAATACCATTTCTTCTTTCTTGACAAGGGTAAACCCCCGCCCCTGTGGCGTTCAGTTGTTAAAACGAGAGACGACCGCTGAACTCTAACGTCCACATGTCATGTGTGTACAATCAACACAGCACAAGGGACGAGGTGTCCAAAGACCCTGTTTCCAATTCAGCCCACTGTTGCCGACATTTTCTTCACGCCATGCTGAAGAAGCAGGCCACAGGAAAAGAGCCCAAGAAATGTCCACTGCAAGAGGTCTTTTTGTTGACTTAAGTGTAATCTTTAAATGGCTTAATAGTTCTCCAAGCTTCAAGTTTCTAAATTGGCATTGAAACCAATTTCACTTTTGTGCAGACCACAAATTAACAAATGTCTTCTAACCCAAGAATCACTTTTAAAACAAGCCCTTACTTGATGATAAACTCAGATCTTTAAATGTCACTGTTTTACACACTCTGAAATGTTTTTTTCCCCATCCCAACACTGTGATGTCAGTAAATGAGAAGACTGATACAGAACTTCAGTGTCACACTAATGCCCAGTATTTCATTGTGGTCTATTCTTTATCATTCACATTTATAAAAAGGAACTTTGGGACTTCAGTTCTATTCAGCCAGCTACAGTCAGTCCTCTATCCCACTCTGCAATCAGTATTTTTAGAAGTGCTGGTCCAAGCCATTTGGAGTCCCTCTGCATTTCACTGGACACAGAGACCTGAAACTTGATGATCTTCAGAAGAAGAATTTCAGTTAACAAGGATCAAGTGGTCATCACTTCTACTTCTGTAACAGAAAGGGGGAGAAAGAAAGAGAAAAGAGAACAAGGATTTAAAAATCTCTGAGGTGGAAGAGGAATACAGTCTACCATCTAGGCAGACAGGGGCTGTTGATATGCCGAGTGCAACATATAAGAGGAAGAAAACACACGAAGGACAATTTACATTATTTGTGGTTTGACTGGATGCTTTTGGCAATTTGGAGGAGCTGTCCACCCTCGGTCTCCCTTCGACAAAGCGGTGAGAACAGCAGATTTTCCTCCTGCGCTGTGGTAGGGGAGGCGAAAGGTTAACTCTGCATCTGCTCAACCCAGCGCATCTTTCCAAAGAACCCATCACATCAGAACTAGAAGAGGTTGCAAAGGCCGTCTGTTCCACCCAGGTGACACTGAAGGAGCCAGGAGGTTTAGGAAAGGTCATGGGGAATTGGCAGGGTCCAAAACAAGAACCAGGTGTTCTGATCATCCGGCTAGAGGCCTGATAGTCTGTGGTGCTTGCTGGACTGCTTCGTTGAAAAAGAGCAACCCGACCACGCTCTGCAGGAGGCGGAGCTGTGATCGTTGGGCTGTATGTCCCGGGCACTGGAAGGGGGACCCAGACACCACTATTTGTGATGCTATGATTCCTCAGGTTCCCTCAGTGAGCTTCTTCTCCAATATTTACTCCCCGCTCATAGCCTTTCTCAATTTTATTCCATTTTCAGGGTCCCAGCTGTTAAATACACCCAGGTGTACTTAATCTCTAATACATTCAAAGCCATCACTTGTTCCAAGGTTTGTCTGCCTCCATACAAGCCATTTCCTTCATCAGGCCCCATGACCTTCACTGACTCTCTGCAGGGTCTGTCCGGAGCCCCGTGGGTCCTAGGCTTTAATCTAGCTATTCAGCTACAACTGATCTGCTGACTTCACCCATGATCGCCTTTGGTAACAGCCACTTCTGCTTTCATCTTTGACGTCCTCTTTCTTCAGCATCCTAGCTCTTCACCTGATGTTCTTTTGTGGACTCTCCTGTTCCACTTCATTCTTTCCTTCCTCACGATGGGCAGATCCTTCTTCCCGTGAGGCACCTGTTCCACAGCCCTTAGCACATCGTAGGGAAAACGCTCTGCTGAGGTTGCTCTGATCTTCTCACCATTCAGACCCAATCTTATCAGTCTTCCAGCCCATTCCTTAAATCTTTCACTCATTCCATATGGCTGCACAAGAAAATATTTAACAGCCTCCTGGGGCTTTTTGTGGTACAAACCAAGGTCCAAAAATCAAACACCAAAACCTTAGAGCTACTTTCCAGAATTCACAACTACATGTTCATATGGGTCTTTTTTTTGTGTTTTTTTTTCTTTTTTTACAGTTAACTACGTATTAGAAAAGCAACTCTGAGAGACTTGCATAAGTACCTCTTTGGAGGCAGCTGCCTATTGAGAAAATTAATTTCCCTTTATCTCGGCTTCCATGGCAACAGTTTAATGCTCTGAGAGGATAAAATGGGATTTTAAAAACTTAAAAACTCTTCTCAGAAGACCTCGTTTCATATTTACCAGACATTCTTTGGAAAGGCTCAGTCATACCATTTCATTCCCAAGACGCGGTATGAATTGATTAACAGAAAATACATCCTGTGATTTTAAGTAGCAATTACGTTCTCCCATCTTCCTCCAGGAATCTGTTTTAGAGTCCTTCTCAGAACACATTAGTTGGGGATACCTGGCCCTAGACTTCAGGTGAAAACGAACATGGGCACAATTAAGAAAATTATCCTCACCCGACCCCCATTCTAGTCCCCAGGCCACTGTGTGGAGGCTTTGCCACCAGGTCCAGACCACTTTTGTTAAGTGCCCTGATGAACAGAGAGCGAGAGGCAGCTGGTCCATGAAGACCCACTGATTTGCGTTTCCAGCCAAGGACACGCTCAGCATCCTCCCAAGCAGGTCTCCTGCTCTGCTCAAGAAAGGTTATCGGTACCACAGATACTGAAATGGGGAAAACACCTTTCACGTGCGCAGAGCTCTACCTCTGCAAATAAGGGCTTTGACCGCTCCTTGGGCCAGCTCCCCCTCTTGACTCCAGGGACATAGCTCGTGCCTTCTCATGAGTCTCGTGATACTCCCAGGAGATTTCAACCATGTCACACAGCTTTCTACTTTATTGTATAAGAAGCAATTCATTTCTAAAGCCAGTTGCTGGGGGAAGAAAGCAAGGAGGGGCGCATTCTTTCCCACAGTCAGCTGGCTGCTGAGTGCGGCATTCGCCCTGGGAGGACTCTCTGTTCAGGCAGCAGAGCGTCTCATCCGGGAGCACGGAGACCTGACTAAACACAATACTGACCTCCTCAGGCAGCAGACGCGGGACAGGAAGGGTGAGGACTCCTTCTGACACTTCTCTTTGCTGCTGCTCTCCTTCAGGAATTCCTGAAGATCCGTTACAGGAAACCCATTCTGTTGGTATTTCTTTAAAAAGTGCACAGTGTTGTTACCTTACTTACACAGCATGAGAAATTGCTCCCTTTGTCAACGAACCAAACCCATAAAATGAAACTGCTAAAATGAAACTTCCGCTTTGCTAGCTCAGATCCAAGAACTGGTATTAACAATGATCAGTCGATCTGTCAGTCCCTTGAAGGCCAAGCCAGGGCCACCATGGGAACAGAGAGCGATCCAGAGGGGAACGCCAGACAGCGAAGCACAGCGGGGCCGTGGAGGGGCAGGTCAATAGGAGTGAAGGAGACAGCCATCTAGAGCTTTGATGCCAACTGCAAGACCAGGTAAGATCTCCCCTCCCCTACGCTGCCCAAGTAGCGTCTGGCTGGGAAGTAATCCCTATTTCCTCTACTTTTGTAGAAGTTGGTTGCTTAGTGAGGCAGAAGGCAGTAGGTTCCTCCCAGCAGACACAAAGACCCTGAGGGACCTCCCCTTGCTCTTAGTGAGGTCACCCACCAGGGCCCTGGGGCTTGGCGGCCCCACAAGGACACTGTCACGTCAAGGACAGGCACCCGCAGTGCAGGAGTGCTGCTCCGTCTCCACGCCCATCCCTGCTGCAGAGCCAACACCTGTCCCAGCGGGAACAGGAGTCTCCCCGCACACAAAGAGCCCAGGAGTATTTCCAACGGACTGGCTTCTTCTGAGTTAGTCTGACAAGGGTTCAGTAAGTGGACAATGTCCCAAGGCACGGACAGGGCACCCCTGGTGGCTCAGACGCTGGCCCCAAGCAGGGTTTCCCAAGCCTGACCATCTGCTGCGGAGGCACCATCGCCCGAGGCAGCAGGATTTCCTTCAAGCTACAGATCAGTTAAACAGACCCGATCTGAAAGGACCCACCAGGTGGCTGAGGAAGGCAGGAAGCTCAACAGCCACTAAAGCCACAGCTTTCATAACCTAAAGCACACCCGCACCGCACAAGCAGCATCCAGTGCACGAGGTCAGCCGGCATCTGGGTGGTTGTCAGGGTGACGGCCACACCTTATCACTGAAACTCACTCCTCAAAGTCTAGGTCCCCGGGCAGGCAGGTGCACCTCAGTGCTGAGGCAGGCAGCCCAACCACTTGATTTACCAAACTCAGCCCATCCTTACCCATTTCCTTCCTCCTTCCCACCTCCACACCAACCTACTCCGATCTGGGTGCCAGAGACAATGTCCTAAGGGCATATTTAAAACTAACTTCCAGCATCTAAAAAGCTTCTTTCCTACAAAACCTCAAAATCTAAGTAAAATTATAGTATTTTAAGTAAGCAAAAAAAAATGTAATATTTTCTTATGTTCCAGTCTAAACAGAATTTGCAATCATTTTTTGGCAGGAAATAATGATAATTGCTTACCTTAATGGTGTCGTAAGAATCTGTAATAAGTGCAATGAAAAGGCTGAGAATCATGTATATAAAAAGGCTGATGAAGGAATATAAGTACAGGCGACTGAACAGCCACACCAAGAGGCTCTTCTGCTGGATGTGGGCAAAGGTCGCGTACATGTCATCACCATTGACCAGCGAGAACAGACACTCAGCAACTGTGTTCAGGTTTTGAAACTGGGGAGGAAAGGGGAGACCAAAATTAGTTTTTGAGACATATTATCCAAAGAAGCCAAGAAGCGACTGGTTAGCTGCTGGCTTTGTTGAAGATGTTGCTGCCACAGGTATTAACGTGCACTTGGAAGCATCTGGAATACCACAGGCAGGAAAGTATTATTCAAAACTCCCCTCCACGCTCACTAAGATCATCCCTTGACGCTGTCCTCAGTTTTCTTCTTTGTTCTTTTTATATGTTTGTGGTCATATCATCTAACAATTTCGGATCCAGATTTTTCTTTCTTTTCTACTTAACATCAGTCTTACGTTATTCACACTTAGAGGGTACTTGTTACAAAACAGACCATTCCTTGGATAAGTCCCATGTGAGTATTTCCCTGTCACTGGACACCCCAATCATGTTTGCTATTATGAAGAACAACGCAATGGACATTTCTAAGCGTGTTTTTTTTTCCCTGTTCTTGGATCTAAGTGATGAACATTTTTAAGGGTACAATCCACCATACTGCTTTCTAATGACAGAACTGCAGCAGCTGTGTGGATGGGCCAGAGACACAAGCTCGAGAAAATTCTGCTGATGAATGGTTTCCTATTAAGGCTACAGGATTAGTTAGAGATGCTTCAGATTAATCCAGGAAACTGGAAACGAGTGAACACTGCAACCAGAAGAGGGGCAGGATCTGATATATGTTCCTAAAAGGTAACTGTGGCAAAGACGTCCCAGAATGGGAAAAGCCGGGGGGCCGGGGGGCCAGTGAGAGTGAGTGCAGGGCCCAGGATTGCAAGGAATCTGGGGAAACGGAGGAGGAAGCTGGGGAGGAAGTAAGTCTGGGAGGGGAGGGACTACTGAAGGACGGATGAGGCGAGCCTGAGGGGCCCAGTAGGCACGTGGACACGAGGCAGTCAGCTGGAGGCTGGCTGGGTGGCTGCACAGCCCTGGGGAGCAGGGGCCGGGCAGAGGCCGGCGTGGAACCCTGGAGTCCCGCGGCCCACTGCCCTGGCTTGCTCGGTTGATAAACGACTGCCACGTTGACTAAACACACACAGCAGGTGCTTAATAAATGAATATCTCTGGGGCCAGAGGGCTCAACATCAGATGAATGTGAAAAGCTTCTATCTAAAGAATGATAATAACTTAATATAATTTTCAGAAATGCAGATGAAACAAGTTACTGTAGAGCTTTGCACCGACTCTATCCTTAGCAGCAGGAGCCTGGGTGACCATTAAGTCAGTGAGTGTGGCTCTGGGGACAGGAGATGAAGATCTCTGGGACATCTCCATCTGGGAGCCGTGCTACTACGTCACATGCAACCCAAACCCATCACCGCTCCGACCCAGAAAACGGACTTTCCTTCCAAATATGTTAGTGATTCCAGGCTTCTCCCAAAGAAACACTTCTCCAAGATAATCAAGCACTTAAAACTTGTGTTGAATTGATTATTCTTTCCCACTCAAGAATCTAATAAGCTCTGTCTGTTCCTATGATGTTTCTCTGATCCACACTGTCTACTCCATTCTGATGTCAACACTTATTACAGGAACTTCCAAGGAAGCCTTCCTCACTCCCACCTCTTCAGCCTCCAATCCAAGCTGCAGTAAAATCTAAACTTCATAGCATATAGCCTTCAGGTCACTTCTTTTGCTTAACAATACACAAAGTCTGGATGCAAAGTGAAAATCCAAACCAAGAAGGTAGGAATAAGTTCCCCCTTAATGTGGTCTCATCCCACCCCTTCTGTGGCAGCATTAACATTCTGTACTTGCCTCTTCTCGCAAAACCCAGCCCATTTCTCTGTCTTTAAATCATGGAATTATTCTCTTCATCTGGTATATTCTTCCTCTTCTTGTGTCCAATTAAGTCAATGTTGAGGGACTATTTCCAACTCTACTTCAAGGCAGACTCCCTTACATACATCTGGAGAAAAGTCTAATTCGAAAAGACACCTGCACCCCAATGTTCACAGCAGCACTATTTCAAATAGTCAAGACATGGAAACAACCCAGATGTCCATTGACAGAGGACTGGATAAAGAAGATGTGGTACATATACACATGTGTATACAATGGACTACTACTCAGCCATAAAAAAGAATAAAATAATGTCATTTGCAGCAACATGGATGGATCTGGGGATTATCATACTAAGTGCAGTAAGCCAGAAAGAGAAAAATATCATATGATATCACTTTAATGTGGAATCTAAAAATGATGCAAATGAACTTATTTACAAAAGAGAAGGAGACTCACAGACATAGAAAACAAACTTATAGTTACTAAAGAGGAAAGTGTTGGGGAGGGATAAATTAGGAGTTTGATATTAGCAGATACAAACTACCATATATAAAACAGATAAACAACAAGGTCCTACTGTATAGCACAGGGAACTATATTCAATAGCTTGCAATAACCTATAATGAAAAAGAATATATATATATATATATATATATACACACATATAACTGAATCACTATGCTGTACATCAGAAACTAACAACATTGTAAATCAACTATACTTCAACTTTTTAAAAAGGAAGTGAAGGGAAAAAAAAAAAGACAGATGCCGTGGCAGCCCTTCTGTTCTCTACATCAGTAAGAACCACAGAGTAAACCACTGGTTGGTCTTCTAATTGGTTTATACGTACTTCTCCGTCCTCCCACCAACTAGCAAACACCACGTCCTACCCTCCTACCCTCCCTGCTCCACGGCTGGATGCATGGGGAGAGAGCACATGGGTACTCCAGACAGAATCATGCCCATGGCTTTGCTGCATCAGCAATGCCTCTGAAGAGCCAGACAAGCATCATTCTCCACAGAGACCTGGAGGGAGCATCCATCTGAGCAAATCACTTAATAATACACACATTAGTTACCAGTGAGACAGGCAGTTCCCAGAGTAAATATTTTCCATCCCCACCACTAGCCTTAAGACAATGAAGTTTAAGTGTATTTCTGTGGCCATCAATCACAACTCTGACAGCATCATTAATAATTCACACTTCTCATAGTTTCTTTTGAAATCTGGCCAGTTCCTTTCTTTAGTGTCAAGAACCCCCGCTGGTCTGTGTTTCAGGTTCCAGAGCTGCCAGTTGGTGGGCACGCAGCAAATTCATCCTTTCGTCTCCTGTGCTGTTACTTAGAATCAGTCTAGACACAATACCTGTCTCAGCATCAGTGTTCTTTACCTCCTTCCTCTCGAGGCACATGAGATTTATTTTAACCCACCAAAAAGTTAAAACAGAGACCCGATAAGGTAAGTGACTGGTACACACCCTATCCTTTCGTACACAAGAAGTGGCTGTCAGCCAGTCCGTTTCATTGGCCAAAATCCATAGTAGAAGTGAACTTCAAAAATACTCAAGGTAAGTAGAAATAAAGTCTTAATATGCTTCCAGTCTAGAAGAACTGCCTTCATGGGAAATTGCTTTGGTTCCTATAAGCTTGTAAGTCCCTGGAAAGCAGGCACTATTGTGTGTTTCTTGTTCATTCAACAAACTGGTTGAGCCCCTACCATGTTCTCTGCACCACACTGGACATGAGGAACACAGAGGGCAATAATCCACGGTCCCCGCCCTCCAAGAACTCGGGATGGAAGAACCCAATAGCATTTGGTGCACAGAAGACATATAATAAATATTAAGTGGGTATCTCCATCAAGCGTCCCCACAGGTACTAGAGGACCACAGTGAGACCCCAAGCATTTGTTCCACAAAATGATAATTTTGCGATTGAGCCAAAAAGAACTTTCATTTGAGTGAAAACATAACCTGTAGTGGCTTATGTCAGAGAACGACAGAAAAATTCCCTTCAAGAGATGGTGCTAAGAACCTGATGCAACATTCCAGTAAAATATTTTAAGCAGAGAACAGTTCTCTGGAATAAGAGAGGTGCTTGGCTAAAACTGGAAGCCTTGAAAGCACAGAGATGTAATGTGGGTGGCATCAGCGAAGCCCACTGATTTTTCATGATCACTTGTAACATGGGGACAATGCCAGTCTACGATTTACTCCTCACAGTAAAAAAAAGTCCTCTGGAAACATCAAAGCCACGTGAGAGTAATGTTCTTGGAATCCTCGCCTTGAATTACTAAACATCAGCGTCTCTAGCCAGCCGGGCCCAGACACTCTGAAAAGAGCGTTGTGCCAGCGTCCATTAGTGCTGGGATCAACATCACAGGACACTTCTTGTATTTTTCACTCTCTCAGTTGAAATCTGAAATTTCTCATTGAAATCTGATGTCTAACAGGAACCCGGAAGCTAAAATGTAGGATTCCTGCTGCCAGTCAAACAGCAGGGTGAAATTCTAGTTTCCCTGATCCCGCCTCTTTGGAGGTTTTTATTTGTATGTTTAAAGAAAGAGTTAGCTTCCACACCCAGGGTTGCTGCGATTCCAGAAATTCGAGAAAATGCTCACAATGGTGCCCAGGTTTTCAAGGCTTCAGACAATACTAAAGCTCTTCTGATTCGAGAGGTACTGGCTGGCAGAACCGAAAACTTGATGATTTGGATTAACTTGGAGGGAGATGTGCAGGGAGCAGTAAACATTTCTAAATTCAGATTCAAAGAAGAAATAATACAGAGAAGAAAAGCACAAAAGCCCAGAGCCAGCCTGAAGGTTTCTCCTCCTTCTGATCAGTGCATTCGCTGAATTAACCTACCTATGCCTCCCTCCAGTGTATCAGCCTGGCTAGAGATGGGAGATGGAGGTCATAAACAGACCTGCTAGGCAACCCCAGAGATACAGATCTCATCTCCCGACTCCTCCAGGGGGAAGTGGAAGGCTGGTATGAGGTGAGAGACACCACATCCAACATGGCAGCCACTAGCTGCGTGGGGCTTTTGAGTATCTGATATGCAGCCAGTCCACATTGCGATGTGCTGTCTGGACAAAACACACACCAGATTTCAAAGACTGAGCACCCCCAAAAAAAGAATGTAAAATATCTCAATGTTTTATACTGAATACATGCTGAAGTAATATTTTTAATGTATTGGGTTCAATACAATGTATAATCAAAATCAATGTCATCTGTTTCTTTAAAGAAAAATCTTAACGTGGCTACCAGAAAATTTGTAGCCCTCATCATATTTTTATGGGATAGCGCTGATCCAGAGCGTCCCCGTCTCACCTGGGTTCTCTGAAGGGACACAACTGACATAAGAACATGCAGTCAGACTCACAAAGCAAGTAACATCATTGTCCACAAAGTCACCTGGACACACACAGAGAGAGTAAGACTGGCTCTCCTCTCAAGGCTGATCTACTCTGGAGCCAAACGAAATGCCCTTTAGTAATGGTCTGTTTTAAATAATACCAAGAAAAGCTCTACTGGGTACTGGTCAAAGCGTGTGTATTGGGGTCCGGCAGACCTGAGTGTGAGCCCTGTCTCTGCCATTTGCTCGCTATGCAACTGCAGGAAAATTACCTAACATATTAAGATCCCTATTTTCTGTAAAAGGATAATAGTATTTCCCCATAGGGCTACTGGCGGGGAGCAACTGGGGGACGGGGCCGTGGGCACCACATCTGTCTAGCACATAGCATTTGAGAATGGTAGCTATTTTAGTAAAATTCAAGCAACATTTTCCAAGCACCTTCCAGAATAACGACGGGGTACGGTAGACGGAGGGCGAAGGAGATGGGACCACCTGCCCCGAGGCCCTGTGAATTAAAGCAGGAGTCTTAGGCTCAGTGTTTATTCCACGTGGTGCAACACTGCCCTCTAGTGACAAATATGTGGACAGGCATTCAGAGCAAGAGGCAGATAAGGAAGAAAAATGTCAATTTTCCTGGGCACTAAGGCAGTAAGTTCTCCAGATCAGAGAGATCATGTCAAATAACAATTTTTACTCATGAGTCACCTTTAAGGCAGTGGAAAGGAATTGGAAGAGCAGTAAGATTATCAAGATTTACTATTAACCCAGAGATTGTCACTTTGTTGCTTTATACTGTGTCTCAGGAAGGAAAACTGTAATTCTCTTTGCACATGTTAAATGTGACACTTAAAGAGGAGAAAGCCTGGGTGTCGGCCAAGTTCCTAGGATTTATTTTAGTAGGACCATGCCGGGAGTTTGGGTTTTGTGGATTGCTCACTCCTTGTGAATAGTCTGTAAACCAGATTTGATCATGTTTTTGTTTAATGCAACTGTCAAGGTCAAAACGTATGGCTGAGCTGTTAATACCAGCATCAGTGCAGTCCTTTACATTTTTGCTTCTTTTCTCCTTGCAGAGGACCTAAGCCAGGATAACAGCACCCTGGACAGTTGAGATTAAGTGAGAGAGAAGGCAGGAACGTGCAGCACAACCAAGCATCGAGGGCTGGGCGCTGTTACTTTCACGTCTGTTGCTTCTGCTGCTCCAACTGCCAGAGGCCCATGGAAGCAAAACTATAAGATGCAATGACCACTTTTACTTTTTCTGGTTTGAAAACAAGACCTACCTAATTTTATTTCCTGCTCTATCTATCAACCAAACTTAAAATCGTTTTAACACAAGAACACCTGAACAGAACTTGGATGTCCCTGAGATTAGGATACTGATCTTTAATAAGGCACTAAGATGACATTGTAACCAAAACCACCTGCAAAGACAAAGGTGTGTTATCATTTTAATCATAAGCCTAGTATGGTCATTCTGGATGAAAACCCTAATATTTTAAATTGGAAAGGTTTTTTAATACTTCATTTCCCTTTTTATTGCAGTGATCTCGTGTCCAAAATTTCTTATTTGATGATCAGCTGGGTTAACCTGTGACCCCTTGAGCCAGGCCCAGACAGTTATGAAGTGTGCCCTCTAGTTTCCCGCAGGGCTTGTTTCAATATCCCAAAGTCACTTCAATATCCGGAAAGGGGAAAGAAAAAGAAAGCCGATGCAAAGACACGTGCTTGCTGATGTCAAGAGCGTGTGCAGGAGCAAAGTGGGACAAAGCTCAGAGCTAGAAGCGCACTCTTAAGGGTCTCGGGTGCCTACTGTGCAGACGGAAGACTTAGTGCTCCACACCTTGTTGTGATAGGGTCCGAGGACAATCCAGCCGCAGAAGGTGTACCCCAGATAGATCATTCCAGCACACGCGCAGAAGCGAAGAACCTTTGGCAGTGAGGCTTGCATCGTTAAAATGAGCACCTAGAAAAAAAAAATCAGCAGAATGGGGCGATTTAAAAAGTTGCTACTGGAACCCAAAGAAGAAATGAACCACAATCCCAGCGACGCCCCCAGTGCCCACATCCTTACGTTGTAGGCTTGGAAATAACCCAAGTATCTGATGACGCCAACCCAGACAAAGAGCGTGGACGTCCCAAGCAAAATGCTGCACAGGTCGTAATTTGTGAGATTCTAAGGAATGAAAAGACAGACATATGAGTAAAACATTCTACTCCACTCAGCTTATGAACCTCCCTTTAAACAGACGGGAAAAAAAGAACGGACTGCCTGCCTCTTTCTCTACATTGATTCTGAGGGTTTTTGCAACTGCAGAAGGAGATAATAGCGAGCGCAATTCTAGATGTGTTTCTCAGTTCCTTTTAGTATTTCAAGTGGTTAAGCAGAATTTTTGTTCAAATGATATCCTGAAGTAGAAACTGCACTTACCACTGACCTGGGCATTAAAGAACATAAACCAATGGTGTTTGTTAAATATTAAATGATATCTTTCAGTTAGTTTTGAAAGAAAGCTCCAACATGATTTGCTAACACTTCCTGCTTGCAAGGACCTCCAGGTCTAACGGAGGAGACGCACGCACACACACACACACATGCAGTTCTCATATAATTCTCACAACTCTTATATGCTACGTGCAACGAGAGACACACAAGGGCTTCCCACGGGCATGACCCTGGAGCAGTGCTGGGCCTGGAGGACTGGCGGGGAGAGCATTGCGAGGAAGCGGGCAGAGACTGAACGAAGGCACGCGCTGAGAGCCTGCCAGATGTCCCAGAGGGGCAGCACTGGTGGGTCAGGAGGGCGAGGGTGGGAGGGAGGCAGAGCGAGGTGACAAGGCCCCTAGAGGCCACACTGAAGGCCGCTTCATCCCAAAGGATGTCCCTGAGGCAGAAAGGATTGTCACAGCAAGATAGATACTTCCAGAAAAATCACACTGACAGCTGTGGGCATCGATCTGAGGGGTCTAAGGTTGAAGGCAGGACAGCCAATGAAGAGTCAGCTGTCGCAGTCTGGGCCAGAGAGGAAGACAGCCTGAAGGAGCCAGAGCAGCTGGATGGACAAGAGGGAGGTGCTTTTGTGGTCAGGAGGTAACTCTGGAAAGATTTGCTAACAGATAGCGTAGCCCGGGGCAGTGGGTAAGGGGAGAGTCAAGACTTGGTCATGAGATTAAATCAGCTAAGTTACACAAAGTGCCAGATGCCTGGTGGGGACCCAAAGATCTCTGCCCTCACCCCCATCTGTCAGCACACCCATCGGTCATGGTCGGGCACCCCTGGATTTTGGCAGGATCAGCTCTCTGATCAGCTCTCCTTTTGCAACTGAGTAAATAAATACATAAATATAGTCCACCCCAGCAACCGATCTTCCCAAACTTCCGTTCATATTTTGAAGATGCTGCCCATGGAAGAGGTGTGAGGAAAAGAGAAAGCGTGTGCGTCAGGGAAGTCTCGGTGAGGACCGCCTGTCCTGCAGCACGGAGGCCGCCAGGAGAGCAGGAAGCACGCCAGGCTTCGAACGGGCTGCCCTCACCTTGGCTTTGATCTCCATCTTCAACACCGAGCCAATGACTGTCATGAGGTCACTGGTGATCACCAGGACGTACCACCCGTTGACGAACTCCCACTGGTCGGCGTCGCACACCTGCCGCTTGTACTTTTCCAGGAAGAAGTTCAGGAATCTCTGCGGCAAATATTTCAAAAGAGCATTTCTTACAAACCACACTGCTCTCTGGAAGGAGCCGAGGGCGAGACAGTGCTCCCACCTGGGTGGGTCCTGACTTCGCGGGTGGGGATCACCGCCACACTTCTTCCACCATCTGCCCCCGCCAGAGGTGAGCATTCCGGTTAACTCAGCGAAGCTAACTCGGACGCTGAGCACGGTGCTCTAGCTCCGACACTCTCGCGGAAATCGCTAACACACAGTACGTGCCAAATACTTTACGTAGTCTCAGCTCATTCAACTAGACAGCAGCCCCGCGAACAGGCACCCCTGGCCCTACCTTCCTGAGGTGGCAACGGAGACACAGGGAGGCCAGGCCAGGATTTGAGCCCCAGCCTCCCATTTTCTGAGCACGTGCTCCCGGGGTCCCCCCAGCACGCTGGCCGAACCTAGACCCCGACCTTGGATTCAGAATAGCTAGGGATTTGGGGGGTGGGTGCGGTAAGACAAGTGGATATTTACAAAATAAACTGACAAAGGTCAAGAATTGGAAAAAGAGAGTGTAGACTACTTCCTTGCTCCACAGATGGCACTGTGACGACTTCCTATTTCCCCAGACCCAGTCTGTATTTATACACATGCCACAGATCAGAATAAGATTTGTGGGGAGCTGGATTATATATATTCTCCAGAGCCCTGAGGATAAGAAGGTACAGCAAAACTCAGGGGAGAATTTTAGAACTGTTTTAAAAATAAAGCATTTTATGCTTCGTCATAACCCATTTACCATACTTCCTTGTCCAAATGAACTTTGATTTGTAGACAAAAGGTGAAACCCACACATATTATTACTCTGTTCTGAAGATCACTCCTGAATTTAAAAGGGTCTCATTTATTCCAGAAACATTCAAAAGCTTGAGAGCTCACCACCGTGCACCTGCGCTTGCTGGCTTGGGTTTAAGCAGCTAATCGTCCAAGTCCTCCTGGCGTGCTAGGAGCTCGGACCTACTCTCGCATCTCAGGCTGATGAATGCCTCGCAGGGACAATCACTCACGGGAATCTAATTCGATCAAGGGCCCCAGAAAGGGCAGGATGACCCAATGTCGGGGACCCACTGTTTGGACCAACTGAAGGCGGAGGCCACGAGGGGAGGGAGAAAGTTCCAACACACACTTACCTTTCGTAACCTGAGAGCAAGAACAATGGATCTTGTGCACAGAATGAGAGACGCCAAGCAAATCACAATGACGAATGCATCAAACACCAGGACATACTGAGTATTTTTCTGAACTGGAGGAACAAAAACAGAATTCAAAGGTCAAACACACCTTACGTGGGAATAATTTCCAAAATAAGATGGCCTCTGGAAAGTAAGTCCAAGTACTAAAGGCTTCAACCTCAAGAACAATCACGCTGCACTCACTCAGAAGTTCACAGACACGGTCATCACGCCCCGGTGTTAAGAGTTACACATTCAAAAACATAAATTCTTAATAGGCGTCCTAAAATACATTTCTAAATCTTTACTGTAGAATAGAATTCAAGAGAAGGGTGTCCTTTTGGGCTCCATTCAAAAGAGGCAAGACTGCGGACAAACTCGGAGTTCTTTCACATAAAAACACCAGCGCCAAGCTCTCCATTAACGAGGGGACAGGCACCGTAAAATCCCACCGCCCAGAACCCCGTTTCTGCTCCTCAGCCTTACTCTGCGCTTTCTCGGCGAAGAGTGCCATTCAGCAAGCTTGTTCCGCATGTGGGAAGAAGAACCGCTTGGGATGAAAGGAAGGAGAGGAGCAGTCAGATTTTTGTCTTGGGACACAGGTGCACGGGGAACGTACTAGAAGAAGATGAAACTGTAACCTTAGCTTCTCTCACACTTCATGGGATTGTCCCAAATCCCGACCATGGCTGTCCCCTGCCTGGCCTGCGCCCACCCTCGTGGTCTTGTCACCTGCCACTTGCTGCCTCCACCCCGGCTCCACCCTGAAGCTACTCTGGTCCTCCTTCCCTGCTCCTACCAGGCTAAAACTCTCTCTCTCTCTTTCTTGCCTCAGGGACTTTGCACATGCTGATCCCTCTGCCTGGAACAGCACCCTCCTCATCACATGTGTTTGGATTATTCAGCCTTGGGTTTCACACTGAATACCTTCCGTCTCCGGAACAGAATTCCCTGAATTCCCATCTGTATTAGTCACCCCCCAACACCCTATCAGAGCACTGTCCACACCTCTAGCTCCACTTTCTCCCCTTCACTCAATGGCCACTGAACTCTTCAAAGACAGCACCACAAGGAGCACAGAGACAGTGTAAAACAGGAATGGACATGGTCTCTAGAGCCCAAGACCTGGGTCTGAATCTTGGCTCTGCACTCAGAAGCCGTGGAACCTTGGTGAAGTAGCCTCAGTTTCCTCATCCAAAAAATGGGTAGAATAAAAAAACCCCACATCATAGGGCTGCTGTGAGGATTAAATAAATTCAAATATAAAAGCACTTGGAACATCCCCATGCAAATAACAACAGCAAACACTTACAGGAGTTGCTACGGCCTCATTCAATGTCTACCTTCCTCAGTAAATGACTCGCTCTGGGAGGCAGGGACCAGATGGATTTTGTCTAACACGACAGCACCTGTGCTTAGCCTAACGCTTCAGGATGCTTACAAATAAATGCAGAGACCCCAACAGAACATAAGAAGAGCACCAAATAACCTAAGTGAGTCCTGGTGAAGGTCTGAGCTAAGTTAGAGGCAGAGAAGGCACAGAAAGACAAGCACAAAGTAGTCA